TCTACAATAAATAAAAAAATTAGCCAGGCATGGTAGCACGCGCCTGTAGTTCCAGCTACTTGGAAGGCTGAGGCGGAAGGATCGCCAGACCCCAGCAGGGCGAGGCTGCGGTGGCCGGGAGCGGCCACTGCACTCCAGTCTGGGTGACAGAGTGAGACTCCAACCCAAAAAAAAAAAAAAAAAAAGAAAGCAGGAGCTTTGGGAAGAAGGGGGAAAAGATATGTGGTCTGTATATTCCATGCAGCTAATAAGGTAGTTTTAAAATGTATTACAAGATGAAATCATGAAAATGCAGCTTTGGTAACAGTTTCAGCAAATGCTGCTTTTTCCATCCATCTCTCTGTCAAAGTGGGCAGAGTTCAAGCTCCTCATTGCAAGGGGAGGGAATTATAGGACAAGGTGGTGGCCAAGACAAGATGGAAGAATAAGATTCAGGTATTTTGATTGACTGTGTCTCTCAGGCGAGCTTGTCACCTCCAATTCATGTTCTCTGATTCTGCAGACAAGAGGACCAGGTAGAGGCCATCTGGAATGTTGATCTGTCCACTTCAAGCTACCCAATAGCAGAGAAGACACCCATGCACTCACTCTGGGCCCAGCTTGGTGGGTACCCAGATATTCCTCGGCTGCTTCAGTTAGACATTCAGTCTACCCTCAGGAAATCTCTTGACTCACTTCAATCACGGTAAGTGAGGGCCTGGGAGCACTCTGGTAATTGGGCCTTGTCATATACCTTTTGTTTCCCTAACTTAACTTTCTCCTACAGCACCAGGAGTCACCAAAAGTAATGTTTGGGGTGAGACTGGATTCACACCAGTCATAAAATAATACAGGTAAATTCAGCATTAGTCTTTTAGTGTTTCTCTTCATAAGCCTGTAGATGTCACCATTGAATAATATCAAACAAACAAAAAATAAACCAGGCATAAGGTCATGAATCTAATCTATCACTAGATAGATCCACTTTTAATCCTTAGGGATTTCTTTTTTTTTTTTTTTTTTGAGTTGGAGTCTCACTCTGCCCAGACTGGAGTACAGTGGCCGCTCCTGGCCACCGCAGCCTCGACCTGCTGGGCTCCGGTGCTCCTTCTGCCTCAGCCTTCCAAGTAGCTGGAACTACAGGCACGCACTACCACACCCGGCTAATTTTTTTTATTGTAGAGATGAGGTCTCGCCAGGTTGCCCAGGTGGGTCACGAACCCGCAGGCTCAGGCAATCCACTCTCCTCAGCCTCCCAAAGAGCGGGATTACAGGCTGAGGGATTTCTTATTTGAAGTACCAGAAAGACCACTGTAGAATGCTTTTGTCCACATTATGGTTCAGTGACATGAGCTTACATGTATGTCCTACATTTAATGTATTTAACGTATGTTGTCATTTCTAGACCTAATTTGAGGTAAATTAGGTGTTTATATCCCAGGATATACTGAAGAGATTTGGAGAGAAGAGGTAAGGTGATCATATGGTTCCACACTTTCAAATTCTGTTGAATCTTCTTCTAAACCCCTGGAAATTCTTCCAGTGGAAGTAAGAAGTTTTTGAGTCTGTATTACTTCTTTCAGGATGTATAATTATTTAATATTCTAAACCAAGAACTTAGAAAATTGAACTTTTGTTAACCTGAAAGAGTTAAAAGGAACAATCTGATTTACTTTGGTGAAATCCAAGTCCTGAAGAAGTAGTGTTAACTCACAAACTTGTTCAAATGGCAGACACCATAAAATAAGACACTTAAAATTTTATAATTCAGTAAAATAATAGCAAAAATATTACTATATTTTTTATTAAATATTACCATATATGATGGATACAATATAAAACCATATACCATGAGCACATGTGTTTATGAAAAAAGTTATCAGCTGGGCTCGGTGGCTCAGCCTGTAATCCCGTGCTTTTGGGAGACTGAGGTGAGTGGATTGCCTGAGCCCACGGGTTAGAGACCTGCCTGGGCAACTTGGCAAGACCTCATCTCTACAATAAAAATAAAAATAAAAAAATTAGCCGGGTGTGGTACCGCGCGCCTGTAGTTCCAGCTACTTGGAAGGCTGAGGCGGAAGGATCGCTTCAGCCCAGCAGGTTGAACCTGCGGTGGCCGGGAGCGGCCGCTGCACTCCAGTCTGGGCGACAGAGTGAGACTCCAACTCAAAAAAAAAGAGAAAAAAGAAAAAAGTTATCAAGCCAAATGTAACCATTAAGTTGAATAAGTATGACTCATAAGTTTTAGGTTATAATCAGAAAGCAACTTTATTTTTGTCTCCCATTTTCCCTTACATTTTTGGAGTGATTGCATTAGTTAGTTTAGTTTTGTTTTTTTTGAGTTGGAGTCTCACTCTGTTGCCCAGACTGAAGTGCAGCAGCATGCTCACAGCCACTGCAGCCTCAACCTGCTGGACTTAGGCAATCCTTCCACCTCAGCCTTCCAAGTAGCTGGAACTGCAGGCATGTGCCACCATGCCTGGCTAATTTTTTGATTTACTGAAGAGATGAGGTCTCACTAAGTTGCCCAGGCTGGTCTTGAACCTGTGGGATCAGGCAGTCCTCTCACTTTGGCCTCCCAAGATGCTGGGATTATAGGCATGAGTCATTGCACCTGGCCAATTTAGATTATTTTGAGGGATAATAACATTGCTCAAAATAGCTTAATATTTCTAGTGCTTGGGACAAGATATATAAATTTTCTTTGAGTAACATTTCCTTACCTCCATGTCATTACTAGCTTCAACTGGTTTCTTATTTTCTGACTTAACCACTTCTGCTCATACTAAATTCCTACAGACCCTTATTTCCAGTTTACTATTTAGATGAACTCAGAATCAGAGCTTTCACTGCTTTCAGAGATTTTGTTAGTTTGTTTCATTTTTTTATAGATATGAAAAAATCTACAATTAGTACAATTAATCCTCTTTAGGGTACAGTTCTGAATTTTGTTTTGTTTTGTTTTTTTTTGAGTTGGAGTCTCACTCTTGTTGCCCAGGCTGGAATGCAGTGGCACACTCACAGCCACCACAGCCTTGACCTATTGGCCTTAGGCAATCCTTCCGCCTTAGCTTTCCATGTAGCTTAGAACTACAGATGGACGCCACCACGCCCTGCTAATTTTTGTGATTTATTGTAGAGACAAGGTCTCATCAAGTTGCCCAGGCTGGTCTCGAACTCCTGGGATCAGGCAATTTTCACTCCTTGGCCTCTCAAAGTGCTGGGATTACAGACTGAGCCACTGTGCCCGCCCCAGTTCTGGGTTTTGACAAATGCATAGTCCTGGCAACTACTAGCCTATTTTCTGTCCCTATAGTTTTACCTTTTCCAGAATGTCATATAAATCAAAGCATAACCTTTTGAATCTGACTTTTTTTTCTCTTAGCATAATTCACATGAAGTGTATCCATGTAGTTGCATATATCAATAATTAATTTGTTTTTATTTATTGACTAGTGTTATTCCATTGTATGGTTATGCCATGTTTGTTTGCCTGTTCACCAGGTGAAGGACATTTGAGTTGCTTCTAGTTTTTGGCAATTATGAATAAAGATGCTATAAAAATTCATATAGAGGTTCTTGAGTGAATGTAAGTCTTCAATTTGTCTTAGATGTATGCCTAGGAATATTTACCTAGTACTCCTAGCTTTAGACACTCCTCATATTAGTGGTGGGTTATATGATAAGTATCTATTTAACTTTATAAGAAATTGTCAAGCTAAAAAAGGAACCGTATATCCCTCCACATTGATCCAGTGGAGCTAATTCTTACCCTGCTTCTAGATGAAAGCCTAGGTGTTCCCATGACATTTCTGGTAAATTTTCAGTATGATGTAAGTTTGTTTGGTCAGTAATTAAAACGTCCAGAACCATGTATAATTAAAACTTTAATTTTGCTTTAAAGGTGTGACTTCTCCCCTCTTCCTGCTTAGACTATACAGTTCAGAGTCAGAGGAGGACATGGCTGCCTCTTTTCTCTTTTATGTCCTAATGCTCTGTTCCTACTTTTCTTTTCTGTTTTGCACTACATGAGATGAAGGACTCAAGTCATGTTCCTACTTTCCCAGCTTGCCATTATGGTTAGTGACCTCTTAGGATTAGAGGTCTGAAAAGGGAGGCTAGGAAGGGGAAGGGTAAAGTTTTTATTGGATGTTACTGCTGCATTTTCTTTTTCTTTTTTTTTTTTTTGAGTTGGAGTCTCACTCTGTCTCCCAGACTGGAGTGCAATGGCTGCTCCCGGCCACCGCAGCCTCGCCCTACTGGGCTCCGGGGATCCTTCCGCCTCAGCCTTCCGAGTAGCTGGAACGACAGGCGCGCGCTACCACGCCTGGCTAATTTTTTGATTTATTGTAGAGATGAGGTCTCGCCAAGTTGCCCAGGCGGGTCTCGAACCTGCAGGCTCAGGCAATCCACTCACCTCAGCCTCCCAAAGGCACGGGATTACAGGCTGAGCCACCAAGCCCGGTTTACTGCTGCATTTTCTAACATCATTGTTTCCTCGACATGGCAGATTTTTAAAGCTGCTTCTTTCATAGGGTACTTTGGTGAGTTTTTCTGGAGATTATCATCACTGTAGATCTCTATCTGCAGTTTTCTTGATTTAGATAAATACATTTCTCTTTTTCTTCTTCTTCTGTTTTTTAGAGATAGGGTCTTTCTCGGTCACCCAGGCTGTAGTGCGGTGGTGTGATTGCAGCTCATTGCAGCCTCGAACTCCTGAACTTAAGTGATCTTCCTACCTCAGCCTCTCAAAAAGTGTTGGGATTACAGGCATGAGCTACTGCATCCAGTTCTAGGCAAATACATTGGTTTTCCGATGGAGTTTGCATTTATTTCTTCCCTTGGTCTCTGAGAATCCTGTGATACCTCCAGCTTCTCTCTGCTGAGATGCATTGCATATTAAGGCAGCACTTCTGTGCAGAATCTAAGACAACCCCACCCATCTCTTTTGGGTTTATGTATATGTGTGGTCTACGTCTAGTCTAAGGGAAACACCTGAGCAAAGTTTATTTGTCCGGACTTCTGCAGCTGAAGACTTATCCCCATGCAGCAGCAATCTCTTCTCCTTTCTCATCAAAACTTCATACCCTCTGACCAACGCCTCTTTTCCCCTGTTCACCCCCCACACTCCAGCCTCTGATGACCACCATTCCACTCTCTACTTTGAGTTTGACTCTTCTAGATTACACATGTGAGACTGTGTGGAATGTGTCTTTCTGTGCTTGGCTTATTTCACATAGCATAGTGTCCTCTATGATCATCCATGTTGTTGCAAATGACAGAATTTCCTTCTTTTTTAAGGCAGAACACTATTCGATTGTGTGTATATGTGACATTTTAAAAAAATAATTCATTCATCCATGGATACTTAGGCTGTTTCCGTATCCTGGCCATTGTAAATAATGCTGCAACAAACAAAAACATAGAGGCACATACCTCTTTGACGTGCTGATTAAAAATTTTAATTCCTATGGATATATACTCAGAAATGGAATTGCTGGGTCATATGATAACTCTATTTTTTTTTTTTTTTTTTAGTTGGAGTCTCACTCTGTCACCCAGGCTGGAGTGCAGTGGCCGCTCTCGGCCACCACAGCCTCGACCTGCTGGGCTCCAGCGATCCTTCGGCCTCAGCCTTCCAAGTAGGTGGAACTACAGGCGTGTGCTCTCATGCCCGGCTAATTTTTGATTTATTGTAGAGATGAGGTCT